CCTGGCTTCAGCCCAGGAATATCCCTTACCACATTGCCTCTTCTGTATCCAGCCAGACACATGTATATATCCATAGACAAGCAAGGAAAGTCTTTTTCTGACAATAGGGACCCTATTTTGGTGAAAAAAAATAAAAGCTAATTTCTTTCGCAGTCAGGCCGCTTTCTCATTCCCCCTTATCAAGAATCATCATCACCCTAAACCAGGTCCGTAGAGAATGGAATTTAAGCTGTATCTTAGCTCGTTTAGTTCCACGTCCAAAGTAAAAATTGGTATTTTTAATGTTTGAAACTCATTCCCAAATTTACTACTTTATAAGTGGTCCTTTCCCTTCCAGATCTTTTATCATTTCCTTTCTGTCAGTTCTCTCGTCACTTTCTCTAGAACCGGAAGCTTTTCGTTTCGAATGGTACCATTAAAACTAAAAAGACCACCGGTTTCCCAGCAGAGCCTATTAATTAATGACAAACCTTTGCGAGACTTCTGTCTTAAAAATAATTATTTGCTGACTTATGAAGTGGAGCCTTAATTAAACGTTTTAGAATACAAATGTCATACTAAAATTAATTATTAACTATGTTGAATATAAATGAATGAAATATATTTATGAAATTTTAATACTGTCTTTATGAATAGGAGGTTCTGATAACCAGTAGACCTACTATAGCAGAACTAGGGTCATATTTTTGGCTTACCTAAAGCTGGGGTCCCCAACCCCCAGGCCACTGACCAGTACTGGTCTGCAGCCTGTTAGGAACCGAGCCACAAAGCAGGAGGTGAGCTGCAGGCGGGCGAGTGAAGCTTCATCTGTATCTGCAGCCGCTCCCCAGCGCCAGCATCACCGCCTCAGCTCTGCTTCAGATCCTCAGGCATTAGATTCTCAGAGGAGCTCCAGTCCCTGGTGCCACAAAGGTTGGAGACCACTAGCCTAAAGCATTATTACTTGGTGACAACTCTCTGTCAAAGATATGTTTTTTTTTTTTATTAACTTCTAGGAATTATGTAATAAATTACGTTAGCACTGAAATTCCCGATGAGAAGAAATGCAGATAAATCCTCCATCTGGTTGGCAGAGCCGTGGAGGGATCCGTGCTACGAGAAATGGCTGGGGGTGGAGCGGGGAAGGAAGGAGAAAAGAGACTAAAATAGTAGGCTGCCGTGCCTGCGGCTCTGCATAGCTTTGTCTTGATCTTGGGGAAAATTTTAGGAATTCAATCTGTGGATTTCTGGGGTTTGGCACGATGCAGTTGTATCTTGACCCGCGAATGCACACCGCATCCTAATCGCTGGATTTCTTTGCTCCAGTACGTGCTTTGCCTTTTCCTTCCCAGGAAGCCACCGGGTGCTGTCCCTTTTTCCTCTGCATTCAGACTCACTGCAGCCCCCCGCCCCCGACACACACACACCCCTGTGACGCAGAGCTGCTGGGCCTCCCCGGCTCGCTGCCTCACGTCTTCTGCAGCACTGCACGAGTCAGCCGGGGGAGCACCCTGCGGTCCGGTGTGAAGTCGGGGCGATTTACTTGGCTCTGGAGTCCGTCCTTTATAGTACAGGTGGGCCTCAGAGTACGTGGAGAAGTCCGTGTTGTGAATACGAGGAGAATTGGTTTTTCTTGATCTCTGCATAGAATTGCCATTCATTTCAAAAGTTCAGATATACATCCTCAGAGCACCTCACAGCTCAGCTTGAGCCGGCCCAGGTGCGCCTCCTTAGTGCTCCCGGAGCACCCCACCCCACGTACGCATCCTTATTACTGTGGTTCTGTTTCATTCCGCGATCGCCTGCTTATGTGCCCAGGTCTCCCGCCCCACACACCCTTAAACTGTGAACTCTCAGGGTAAAGACTGACTTACACTACTCTACCTGGCACCTAGGAGGTGTTAAAGTAAGTATTCGTATGAATTATGAATTTTTAAAAAGGAAAGTTAGATTACCAATTTCTGCAATCCTGTTCGACCCTTATTTTTATTTATTTATTTTTTATTCTGTTAGAACCTTTAAATTCCCCCTCAGTTGGCTTTGTTGCCAGCAATGCTTTAGCACCATAGTACAGATTTTAGTAATAAATGTCATTCGCATCCAGGTAACATAATCAATTTTTGTTGCTCAAACTGGGTCATTGCCCTGTAAGTTAGAGTCTGAGCGCTAGACTAGCTCAGCTTGTTCCTGTGGACCTTCTAAGTAATGTCCCTTCAACGACTCCCCCCAGTCCTCAGCTCCCGGTTTACGCCGAGGCACACCCTACCTGTTGGTTCAGCGTGAGCGTGCCGAGCCTCCCGTTACAGTGCAGGCAGGCTCTGTGATGGGAATGCAGTTCGATGAGGAGGGAGAGAGGGACGTGTGGGTCAAGGGTGACAGTAGTGTGAGGGCTGTCACTGAGAGATGGGACGGTTAGGGAAAGTTTCTCTGAGAAGGGACGTCTGTGCCGAGTCTTAAAGGATGAATTCAGATTCAAGGCAGGGGATTAGCATTACAGAGAAAGGGAACAGCGTGTGGGAAACTAGAAGGCGCAGGCTCCGCAGCGGCAGGTTTGCAGAAGGGACTACTAGAAGCCGAGGCCGCAGGGAGAAGGCACACCTGGACAGAGCTGACAAGGAGTGGGGAATTTAGCCTGTCAGCCAAAGGGGAGCCACTGAAAATCCTAAGAGCGGCGCGACATCGCACTGTCCTCTGCCGTGTCTCTTCTTCAGGGGTCTTCTGACCTTGGTGCTCCCTGTTTCCACTGCTGCCTTCTCTGCCGATGCTTTGTGCCAAGTTAGTTTGGCTACAGTCAGATGGTCCTGGGTTGCAGTTTCGAACATTCTCAAACACAAAAAAAAACAAAACAAAAAATTCTGTAGCCCTGATAATGTAACCTTGGTCCCACTGGTCACCTGACAGATTGACAGGCTCTGAATATCTCATTCCATTCTTATTGTTGAAAAAAGAGACATCTTCATAAAAAGCAAAATGGTAAACTTACGATACTCGTTTACCAAAATGAGGGGGCTGCACATGAGAACAGCTGAGCCTCTGCACCTAGGGCGCTCTCAGTGTTCGGGTTGGACCCTCTAGGTTCTCCGTGTTCCGTGCCTGGGTGACAAGTAGGCTTGCAGTCTAGGGGCGTCTGTCAGGCAAGCCTCAGTGCCCCAGTGAGTGCACCTGTCACTTGTGACCCGTTGGAGAGTGTACACTGCTGTCGTATGACTCTGCACAGGGTCTTAGCCAGCCTCACAGTAAACCATTTTATAGAGATGTCATCATGGCGTCTAAACTGAGAATCCTTTGTGCCCGGCCCATCATTTCCCATTCATGGGTCCTGTTTAATTAGAAAGTACTTTACGAAGTGTCCCATTTTTTAAATGTAATTCGAAGTGGCAAGTGGCAGACGTGCCCATGACCTGGATGTCATAAGCCTTCATGCTCACTCATTCACCGGGGTCCTTCAGTGAAGCCAGCGGCAGGTGTGGGAGGCGAGCAGGCCTCCTCCTGGGGAAGCCCAGGCCGCATTCGGTTCACTGCTGCCACCTGCTGGGGCCCGGCCGCTGGCTCGGAAGGCTGCTCAGGTGATGGAACTAGCCTGTCCAGGGACCGTAGAAGGGTCGTGTGTGGTCGCAGTGCTAATCAGCTGTGGTTTCTAGCTGACAGACAGCCAACCTGCCCCTAAATGAAAGGGCCTTATAAACTGTAGAGCGTTACACCAGTCGGTGTACGATACTGCTGCCTGGAGTATGTCGGAGCAGCAGTGGGCGGCTCGGAGAGCGCTTCAGGGACGCGGAGATCCTGGAGTATTGGAGCCGAGAGGACCCTTAAAGCACGCGCTATAAAACTTTAGTTAAAGCAGAGACTTCTGAAAATGCAGATTCCCAGGCCTGACCTCGGAGATACTGGTTCTTTAGGCCTAAAATGGGGTTTATTTAACGGGGTTCCCCTGAGATTCAGATGCAGGCAGTCTAGCACCACACTCAAGAAGGGGACTCACCGCCTTCAACATCTAAGTAAGAGCTCATCAACCATTTTTCTTATTGGGTGCCTCATTTTAATAAAAAAGATTACATCTTCCATCAATGGGATGAGTCACTGTAATAACTAGCTGGTTCTTTGAAGCATACACACAAAAATTATTGTTGGATTGGTTCTGCAGCAAAAAAAAAAATCACTTTTAAATAATTAACTTTTCTCTCTTCAAGAAGGAAGTACAGTATATTGGTCAGTTTATAGTGGAATGCTCTTTGGCCCGGGGCATTGGCAAGCAAAGGTGGGATTCTGTATCACATTTACCAGAGCTGTCATTTCCATGAGTCTGGCCATCATTCGATGACTGGCTGTTGGTTTTTCAGGGCCCTAAACTACCGTAATGCAGAGTTCTGTCCTGCACTGTCGCTCACCTCTTTTGATGCCACGCACGAGAGAGCTGCGGCCCCCGTGGTTTCCAGCGTGTCTTATCACTTCTTATCCCTCACCCTGTCTTGACAAGCGTGGCCAAGACACAAGTGATAATGAACAGAAATAGTGACTTTCCCTATTACACAGGGAAAACAAGATGCCGGGTTGCAGGTTGGAGAACTCACCTTAGAGCAGAGAACTCTGAACACCCGTCACGTGCTGGCTTCATAGCATATTATCGGCCCAAAAACATCTGTCATTTTTTATATACGCCACTGCTTCTGAAACGACTGGTTCCCGAATAACCCTGTCTGACCATGAACTGAGTGAGGCCACTGAACTCAAGGCCGGTCATACTTGGTGCACAGTGCCGTCTCAGTGAACGCTGGGCACCGGTAACTGCCTGGTGCTTTTCATCGGACCTCTTTCTGGTTTTTCTTCCGGCTCTCGGGGTTAGCATTCAGGCCTCCAAACCCTTTGGTGCAGATGGTCACATGTGGAATGCAGTTGTTATGTGTTGCGTGTGTGGAATTACAAGGCGGTTTGTTGAACCTCTTTATAGAGAAATTCTGTGCTTTTCGGGTCATAATTTTTATCACTCATAAACTGGTTTGCTTCTATCATTGTCTTTTAAGGTGTACCTGAAGGAAATTTTAAAAGAGATCGGCGTTCAGAATGTAAAAGGGATCCACAAAAACACGTGGGAGCTGAAGCCAGAGTACAGACACTACCACGGAGGGGAGAAGAGCGACTGAGGAGCCGCGGGCCGCGCGCGCACAGGGCCGCGCCGACGCTTCCCTGGGGGCGCGTCTGTCCTGGGGTGACGGGACTGATGCTTTAACTTCTCTAGGTAAATTTTTCAAACAACAGTTCTTGGAAAGGGACCTGCGTGTTTTTTGAGGGGAAAGAACAAATTTATAGACTTAAACTTGTATTAAATCAGATTCTTCATGATGGGCTTGAGCTTTGGCGAGTTAAAGAGGCTTTTCTTTTTTGAATCTTAACTTTTAACATGTAAAATTAAGAAATGGTTTCTAAATGAGGACTCTCCCCTTGCTTTTGTAATCTGAGGAGCAGAGCAGTACAAACCCAGGGTGAATGGCACAGCAAGAAAAAATAGCCAACGACGGGAGCTCTTAAAAGGAATAAAAAGCCAGAGTGGTTCCTTATTTTGCAATTGTGGAAGAACAAAGCTGTCTTTTTTTAAATAGATGATCATGTTTCATATTCACACACATTAATAAAGAGAGCACTTATGTTTGCGCTAGGATAGCAGTTTTCATCAGTAGTGACGTGAGGAAGTAGAAAAAGTCATGGTCAGTTGGTGTTTATTTGCTTTTAAAATACTTAGAAATTAAATGCTTTTCCAACAGTTCAAGATATGTCTCCATCATCGATTAGAAGGTTCTCAGAGACAGACTGAGCCCCAGAGTTTTACTGTACACTCAGCAGGCATGTGTGGACTGTCATGTGACATGATATTGACAAGCCGAAGGACAGTGGTAGAATTAGGCTGTTACATCTAGACAGAGAGCTTAAGTCAGTTCCTGGGGACTGGAAAAGTTTCTTGTATCTTTTTAACTAATTTTAAATAAAAGCAGTACATGTCCACGATTAAAGTTTTTCTATCACGAGATATTATACATTAGGCAATCCATAATGATATCCACAAAAAAGACCAAAACAAGTTTTTACCAACTAAACACAAACAAAAGTTGCTTTCTACTTGTTCATTTTGTCAGTTGCTTCTGTATGCTTGCAACCAAGAAGTAGCATATGTCCAAAATTTAAGAAAATGTTATATAATTAAAACAGATCAAGAAAATATCTACCCATCAAGATAAATATTTTTCCATATTATTTGATATCTAACGGCAGAACAGCAGAATGCTGAGGTTCAGCACCACTGCACTAAAAAAGCTTTATCCTTGCCTTCCTACTGAAAAGTAAAATTCCGATTAAGGAAAGTGGCCGGTCGCCTGCCCCACCCCCAGTTGCCTTATCCTGCCCTGACCCGGTGCAGGATCCCAACGTTGCCCCGTTGCCTTCTGCTTGCTGATTACTCGAGGCTCGGTGGCAGGAAGCGAATGGATCACGATGTGATAAGTCTCCGCAGAGCTGAGCATTCTGGGTACCTGTCATGCGCTCGGTTCATCCACGTCTTCCCCCAGACCTTGTCTCTCTGACGTATGGAACCTCCCTGAAACAAACCAGTGTCCTCTACCCTTGCTTTTTGTTTCTGTGGCGACAGTGCCTGCCAGATTGCACTTGGTGGCTGCCAGTAGCGTCCCAGGGCAGAGCTTTGTGTCATTTGAAGCTATCCTTCGGTATTTCTGCAAACCTGATTTCTTCAGGCTTCTTTTAGTTAACCTCTTACCTCATGACAGTACCTGCCCTAGTCTTTTGAACGCTCGTTGCCTATTCAGCGGGAGGGCTGGTCTGGGCGGTAGGCTGGTGCCAGTCCCGGCTACGTTTTTGGAATGCTTTCCTATTAATACTGAAATATGGCTGCTGGTCATGGGAGCGACTCCCTTCCCCCTCGGCTCCCATATTCTTTGATTTCGGAACCCTCTGGCTCTGATAAACATGCTTTTGACAGCCAGAAATCAGGAAGTAGGAATCCTAGACCCTATAACCACTGTGAGGTTTGAGAGAGGGGAAGGCTGATGAGGAAGATACACATCTGGTAAGATGTCACATTCTAAGAGGACAGGAAGGCCACATTTAATAGATGAGGTTGTTAACCAGTACGCACATGCAGGGGATGTTTTAACGGTCAGAATGTAATAAGATTACGGTTGCTGGGCAGTGGAAAGGTTTGAAATTACATGTTACCACGGTAACTTCTAAAGTGATGTATCTTAAAGAAAGAAAACAGGTTTTGCTCTGTTGTACTCTAAGCAGCTCTTCTGGATTTCAGCAGAGTGCGGTCTTTCCTCGTGGTCTGTGAACAGATTCCCTCTGAAGCTTGTTTCCGTCCTTGGTACATGTCAGTGAAAGGAGCATAGACGCTGGTCAGGCCCTTATGCGCCTGGCGATGTGAGATGCGCTAAAGCGTCTCACTGAGTCCTCACAGCCAGTGCTGAGAGGTGAGCGATGCCCACTTCATGGCCCACTTCATGGCCCACTCCCTGCCCAGCGCACTACGCTGAGCGGGCTCCCTCTCCGGAGCTTCCGCCCTAGGGCGAGGTGGGTACCAGGGTGTGCATTCCCAGAATCCACCCCCGCACCCCCAGGACCCCCAGCAGCCCAGTCTCATCTCCAGACCAGGAAAACGGCGTGGCCCCCAGAGTCATGAAGGAGAGGGGTTTGTCTTTGGCATCCCTGCTCCGTCCCTACCCACAGGATGAAGAGGACCCGCCCTCCTTTTAAAGTCAAGAAGCTTTTGCCAAAACTCGAATCACCTGTTAGACTTCAAGGACCCGGGTGGGGTGCGTGACATTGGACGGACTCTTAGCCGTGCGACGCAGTCGGGCGCCATGCTGGGGCCGGGGCGCCATGTGGGGCTGGGGCGCTGTGCG